GGGGGAGGGGGGGGGGCATTAGAAGGGGATGGATGACCACACAAGTAACGCTCTCGGATGCGGTGTGTTTGTGTGTGTTTGTGTGTGTGTTTGTGTGTGTGTGAGTGTGTATGTGTATGTGTGTGTGTATGTGTGTGTATGTGTGTGTGTGTTCATGTTTTTGGTTATTGTATTTTTTTCGGTCACTCGGTTTGTTGATATCCAGACATGAAAAGTGAAAAAAAAAAGCCACTGTATGACGGTGGACAGCGATTGTCCACCACTCAGCATTCATTTTTTTAAAAGCTTTCGTGACTCAGTTTTCACTTTGCTTGGTCCTATGGGAGACGGACTGTAAATTGGAAGTCTTGCCCTCTATATAACCCTGCCTGCAATATGAAAACGGGGCTTCAACCCATGCCATTTCCCTATATCTGCCACTGTGCAGAAAAAATTGTCTGGAGAGAAGAGGATGGATGAAGTTGTTCCCAAAAAGATGTAAAATCATAATGCTATTGCTTAGTTATCAAATCAGTTCTCTTGACTTATTTTGTACATTCTTTCTTCCAACAGCAACCTCGCCGCCTTAGCTCCGGATCTATTACTAGCGATGCCGAGAGTGAGGGAACCGAACCCGACCCCCCTGTCGTTAGACGCGGGCGTCGTGCTGCCATCTACGAGACGAAGGTAAGCCTGCTTTGTATTTCGAAGGAAGTCCTGTTTTTAATTTCTTTTGAACTCTGAACTCTTTTTCATTAAACCTCCACACCACCTCTTTTTCCTCATAGTTTGAACACGCTACTTGTCAATGTAGTCCTTACTTTTATCTGTTCCTGTCTTCTTTTCATTTCGCTTCCCCTTAACTAAATAATGGTTGGCATGTCCATTTATTGTTCTTCTATACTTAAACGTATCGAACACACCGAACTCCACACCAGTAGGGAGTGGGTGGTTGCTGGATGCTCTGAAATCGTTTGCTCCTTCTTTCCTATCAAACATTTAATTTTATTAACCTCCTTATCTCTCCTCATTATTGTATTTGTTACTCTCTTGTAACACCTCTAATCATCGGCATTACCTAATTGAGTTCAAAATTTTAAAATTCAACTTTTAAAAAATAATTTGTTGTGGTCGTTGTCTTTTTTCCTGGTCGCTTTTGCTGTCATTTTGTGTTGTTCTTGTTTTGTTTTAATTTTGTGGGTGTTGTTCTTTTACTAGATTTACTTGTTATTTACTTCCCCCTTATTGTTTCTGTCGATCCATTTTACTTTTTTCCCGGGCAATAAATAATCATTATTGTGTCGATGTGCCCCCCTTTACTCAAACAAACAAACAAACAAACAAACAAACAAACAAACAAACAAACAAACAAACAAACAAACAAGAAAACAAACAAACAAGAAGATAGTGCCCCATTCGCTGCCTCTCTTACTCCCCCCCCTTCCCCTACCGCCCGCCCACCCTATTTGGGTACGTCTTTATTCTTACACGCCCTCCTACGGAATAGGGTACTGAATGATGAAATGTTTTCCCCATCAGCCGTGCGAGTGGTCAGTGTGTCAACGCGAGGATAGGGTAACTAAGTTAGACCTCCTGACCACACTCTGGGGACAGGCTATCTTTCCACATACGTCACTCAGGAGCTGAGGTGACGGGAGAGCACCCCGGTGGGATGGCGTTGTAAGCGAATAAAGCTCGCCCAATTGATCAATCACGACTGTCTCTTTCCTCCGATAACCTTTTATTTATTTATTTATTTATTTATTTATTTATTTATTTATTTATTTATTTTATTTATTTATTCATTTATTTGAATTGTATGTACATGTATTATTATTTTCAATATTTTTATCACTATTAAGGTATTGTGATTAATAATTATCATTATTATTGTTATAATTATTGTTATTATTATTACTATTATTATTATTATTTTTGATGTTGTCGTTGTTTGTTTTTGTTGTTATTATTGTTTTTATCTTTTACTTTTGTTTGTTTTGGTAAGCAGTATTCACGTGAGCTCAAGAAAAAACTCAGAGGCACGTCTTACTTTTGACATCCATTCTCTGATTTCAGAAAGATTTGACAGGCTGCTGTTTTTTTTAATTGTGAGAAACTATTGTAAGAATATCCTACCTGCCGCCCCTAGCCCTTCTCCCTTCCCTCCACACACGCGCTTACTCACATAGTACGGACTCTTATTTTTGTTTATTGGTTGGCGTGTTTCACAGCGCCTGCAACTGCATAATATGATCAATAATAATAATACGTATTTTCAATTTGGTAGGAATTAATTTTGAATTTTGCCCGGCTGGCGGGCGAAGCTTACTTTTATCGATTTTGGACCACCAAGGGATCTTTAATGTCCGTAACTTGTATACGGGATCTCAGAGATTTTTCAACCTTATCCGAGAAGGCTAGGTGTTGGATCTTACCAACCGTAAGATCAGGGGTGTGGCTGACAGACAGCATTAAGAAGGAGACAAGTAGTAGCAGTAGAAAATCTGCAGAAAGAGTCAGAAGCCCAGAGGAGGGGTTAAAGGGGGTTGAGGGGGGGGGGCGGGCAGAAAATGGAGACGAAAACAGACGACAGAACATTGTTAGATAACAGTAAAGGGAGTAAAAGGAGAATATTTTAGAGAAGAAAATTGTCCGTCGCTTTGTGGATTCGATCCGGGGACGACTGAATAAGAGGCGAACACCATAACCTGTGTGCAACAAGAGGCCCTGTGAGGGTTGAGGTGTCCTATTATTTCTTATCTTACTTTTCCTCTGCACTAAATGATCATTAATATATCGATGTGCCTGCTTTTACTTTACAGCAACAACATACTCAACAAACATTAAAGCAGGGTCTGTTACAAAAGTCAGTGCAAAACTGTTTATATTTTAGCTTATAGCATGACCCTATTTTTTAAAATTCTTTTAAAGAAACAATGCACCAAGGTCAATGCAGGCTTACTTTAAGCAAATGTAACTACTCTCATCCGAAAAACGAGTGGGGGGAAAAATGACGATAGCTTTCTGAAACTACAGTGGTGACCATAGAGATACTATCGATTCAATCACGAAATAATTCAATTGGAAGGAAGGGAGAGAACACGAGCGAACGGAAAAAGGGACCCTACTCTTCACACAGGATTGACGGAACGAAGCTTGTGTAGGCCTATGTGAACAGCGAGTGAGCGAAGCTAAAAACGAGGCAAGAGCAAAAACAAGGCCGGGTAGGGAAGGGGTAGGGGAGGGGGAGGGGGAGGGGAGGGGGTCGGAGAGGGGGACACTGGGAGAAAAGGAGGGGGTACAGGGAGGGGTTAATGTGAGATGGGCAGCGGAAACTGGTGAACTGTGGGTAAGAAACGAAGACATAACCTTGAACCTCGTGAGTTCTGTTTGACTTCTCCGTGTTCTATGTGGTAAAGAATGTCGGTGCTTTCAAGGCAGAGCTGACATGTGCTATTACTATGTTGGTTTTCCCCCTTTTTTTTCGTCGTCCCTTCAATGTCCTTTCATCTGAACCTCTGTCCGTTTTCTCAGCTCATAATATTATGAGGTAAATCCGTGGCGAGGATGAGGCGATACAGTATCCCCCACTCTTAATTTTTTAACCTGAGTTATTTGAAGTTGTTTTTCTTTTCTTTCTTTCTTTCTTTTTTTTTATTTTCCGTCTGTCAGCCCATCTTGTCTTTTTTGGTCTTCTTGTTTGGAAAGAGTGTCTCCGATAGATCCTAATTTGTTCATTTTTTTCCTATGGAATTTCACCAGCCCTATTTAAACTTAAATGAGTGGGTGGTTGGCGGGTGCTCTGGTGTGGTTTGCTTCTTCTTTCCTATCAAACATCTATTGTCCTTATCTCCCCTTCTTCTTTTTTTTTTGTGTTTGTTACTCTGTTGTAACACCTCTAATCTTCTGGCGCTCACATGACCTTATGCAGTTGCGAGCGCCGTAAAACCTCTACTGAAACGAAAACTAAAGCGTAAATAAAAGAACCTTGGTTCGTGATTAAATAAAAGAAGAATGTTAACAGAGAGGGAAATATTCCAGCAAAGAATAACCTCGGGTGTACAACTGATAGTAAACGTTTTTGTGTAATATTTTGTCTCTCGAACGGTTGCATATTTTGTGGGTTTTCATCATCTATGTGACGTCGGTAGCCTAGTGGTTAGGCTACCGGACTCGTAATCGTGAGATTGCGGGTTTGGGGGTTCGAGCCTCAGCTCGGTCCGACGTTGTATCCTTGGGAAAGGCACTTTACTCGGATTTCCCATTTGGCTCGGTCCTTTCAGAGATGGACGTTAAACACGGAGGCCCCGCCTCTCAAATAACCTAATAGTGTTGATAGGGGCGTTAAACCCATACCATTTCATCATTTCTTAACATCATCGAGAGTGCGGTGGCGGAGCGGTTAGTGCGCTCGTCTCCGAAGGGAAAAGTCTGGGTTCGAGCCTCGGTGCGGACAAGGATTTCTTCCGCCCCCTCCTGCCCACCCAGCAGTAATGGGTACCTGACTTCGAGTTGCGAAAGTAAAGACGGTGTATGTGGAAAGGAACTGACCACCCTACCACAATATGTCGAAAGCCCTGGAAGTTATCTCACTAACAAAGCAATCCTCAATACCAGATCGAATGCGGGAACAACTTTACATCATCATCATCATCATCATCATCTTCACCACGACCATGACCACTACCACCACCACCACCGCCACCTCCATCATCATCATCATCATCATCATCATCATCATCATCATCATCATCATCATCATGTAGAACCCACCATGTAGAACTAAGTACCAGCACCTGGAAGGTGTGTATTCTGGGTACTCCTATATGCGGGAACTAAAGTCTATCACATGTCGCTGGGACTAGGTTGAGCTAGCGAGACTGCGGTCGGACCATCATTGGAGTTTAAGATGGTATAAGAACTTTGTAAATGAAGAGCTCAGCCCAGGTTGCCGAAGATGCGGCCATGAAAAGGAAGATGTCAAACATATGTTTGAATGTCCAGGAACAATGGCAATTCGAATGGAGTTATTTGGACGAGTGGAGGTGCCGCTAAGCATATTGACAATGGAGCCGAAAAAGAGCCTCGCTCTCGCTCGAAGACTTCTTCGTGGAGTCCGCCAGGCCCATTCATTAAGGAAACAAACAAAAAATCATCATCATCATCATCATCATCATCATCATCATCATCATCATCATCATCATCGTCAACACAATCACCATCACCACCATCACATCATCAAGTGCCAGATTTGCGACATACCCTGGCGATCACGGTTTTCCATTCATTTCTTTGCTCGGATTCTATTTTTTTAAAAGCTGCTTTTAGTTGCGGGTTTACGAGATACCTATTACTATTATTGCTCCCTGGCCCTGAGGGAAAGAAGTGAGCAGGTGGGAGACCTACTTCTGTACAAATATTGGGTTGCTTCTATACGTTTCTTTTATTCTTTTTCCTAGCACTGATTGACCGGCATCGTGCCAATGTGCTTCTCTGTACTCCAAACAAGAGCATCCAATCCTGAGATAGTGTTGAATAAAGACGTCCATTTCCCATAAGTGCATAATAAAGTGTCACGACACGGTGGAATCAGGCGCTCGTCATTTTTTTGGCATATTATGGAGTTATTGGCATCATCCTAAAGGATGTTTTTCTTGCATTTGCTTTTTTTTTTTTAAATATCATTT